ATCACAGCAGTGTCTGCCAAGTCCATTTTCCTCAGTGACAACTATTCTACTTGCTCCTGTATACAGTGCTGAAGTCATAGTAAAATATAATTTCAGAAATAAATACATTTCAATAGGCAGGATATTATTTGGTCTATCCCATCTGTATTTGTTAGATTTTATTTATTTAGCTTTCTGTCTCAATATTGGTTTGAACTGTGTATTTTAACTTAACACAATGCTTGTTCCATCTGGTTTATGCTATTTGATATTTGTGATAGAGCTAACATTTCAGAGATTTTTTTCAAGTGCTTGAATACTGTCTTGAAGCAGAATGGTAGACTGCTTGAAAAATAATAATAATAAAAAAAAGTATTTTATAGTAAGGAAGGTGTAAGTTCTGTTTCTCTGACTCAACCAGCACAGAAAAGATGTAGGTGGATGCTCTTCAGATGAAAAAGATATTTATGGAAAGGAATATTTTGATAACAAATAAAACAACAAGAAATAGCTAATATCATGCAGATGATAGTTGGCTTGACAAGTGGTGATTTTGTATTGGCTACTAAATTTAAAGAAAGACTTGTTCTTAACCGCATGATCTTTTTAAATAACATCAATTCTAAAACCATTTTTCATTCACACAGAGCACCTCTGCTATAAAATTCAGCTGAGTTACTAGGTCACAGCAGCACTGCAGTATTGAGGATGTCTTTTCAATACTTTAGCTGTGACAGCAAACAGAAAGCACTGGAGCCTGATGATATGACAGGTCATGTGATGTCAGTGAATACCTTGTCTTGAAAAAGATAATATGCATGACCTCCCCAGTAAAAATGCATCATTCAGTAAAAGCAGAACCCTGAGAACTGCATGGACAGCACTAACACCAAGAGACCCAATTTGTAGTACTTGGTCCAGAAAAAGAATAAGATGTTGTAATAGTCTCTAGCCAGTCACATCTAGTGGTCCAAAGCTGCCCAGGAGAGTGAAATACTCCGCTCTTGTCTGTTCATGAGACTTGGTTGCCATGGTCACAACCTTAGAGAGATAAAGACTTTTTCCTGTATTTTGTATGTATAGTAGGGGGTCATAGCAGTGGACTTGCTGTTATATAGGAAATATTTTCTCCTTCATTCATTGGTACCTTAACCTTCCCTGTCAAAAGCTTTGGGTTCATTTGTGTTTAAAATACTCCAGATTGGAAAGAGTACAAACAAGGCAGCTTTCAAATGTACAGTCTCTTTTATTGCTCTTTATTTTTGTTTTCCCTTAAGTTTAGGGACAACACTTGTAGCTACAGTTTCTGGAACAAACCACCTAGCCCCTGTATTTGTTCAACTGTCTGCATTGGTCAGAATCTTTGTTACATGAACAGTTTTCTCCCTAACATGCTTCTTTCTTGTATAGTTGTATTCAGGATTCGCAGCATATACCTCTTCCTTCGTCTCTGCTGCCTACTCACTTTGCAAATGAATATTTCAGTCTCTTCAGAAATGCAAACACAACTGGATAGGATAAATGTTTTCTAGTACTTCCACGATTGCCCAGCTTCCCCCATCATCACAACCATTTCCTTGTGTACTCTGTGCCCTTTTATTGCAGCTTCAAATGTATGCAAGTCCGTGCTCATAAACATACTGTGCTCTATGACTTAGAAGTATATGCAAACAGGTACACCTTTAAGAACAGAGCTTTCTTCTGGAAGATGTTACTTATGATTATAAGGAACCTGAGATAGCCGCTATGAATAAATAGCTTTAAGATGGGACTCCAACTTGAACTCAAGTTTTTGAGATTGATTTTATGATATCATAGCCTTCTGTCAGTAGTAAACGAAGCTGGTTGTCCAGGGAATTTCCTATGTGAAATTCCTGTCTACAAATGCACCTTTCTTAATCCCCACCTGGCTTCTTTTATGTTACTCTTGTATGTCAAGGGGTCTTTTTTTTTTTCTCTCCCATTGTGAACCTGGATGTGTTTCTGTGGCTTATAAGAAATCAATTTTCTCCAAACTGTACCTACAAAATAGTATACTTGCTGTGGCATGATCTTGCCACAACCAGTTGCTGAACACTTGCAACTCAATCTGTTTGGTTTCTCAGTTTTCATCCACAGGTCTGTAGGATGTAGAAGTATGTCTGCCAGTATTTGGAAATAAATATATATAAAATGTTGATTTGCTTTCATATACATCAAGACTGCTCGTTTATTTCATTCAGGCAATGGTCTTCAAAAGAGAAATACTGATGTCCGTCTATTTGTGCAAGGAGCTAAGGGATGGTGAGGCACACTTAGGTGTAAATGCAGCCAGCAAAGCCTGTTTTGTATATTTGAAGCTGTCTAATACTAAAGAGTATGTAAAAACAGGTCTTTAAAATTTAATACTAGGCCCCTAAAATTATTGGATTCATTAAGAATTTTTCACAAATTCTGCCTTAGCTCCTTGCCCATAAAGGTAATATCCTATTATTTCACAGGGATATTACGGTACTTCTTTCTGAAGTAGCTGAGCGTGTAGTTAATTGTAGTGAATTGTACAGATTACAGTGATTTGAAAAACAAGGATGGGTAGAAGCATGTACACATATACATTTCCTGTATAGTAGACTTGCAATGGTAGGTCTTAATGAGAGTTTAGTCTTCTACGCTTAAGGGAGAGCTACTACTTTTTTGGTGACTTTTATTTATCTTGTGTTCTGAACAATGCAGTGAGATCTGTGGAGAGCACCAAAAACTATTCTGTATGCATAAAGAAGGTAAACTAATATTGAATGAATGTCCACATTATTTCCTTATAAATTTAACTTTACAAATACGATAACACTTTTAAGAATGTTTGTTCATTCATGTCTAGTATGGATTGTATAGTCCTTCCTTGAATTTTTGTGCTCCTGAAATATTGAAATGTTGCAGCCAGTATTTTTTCCTGAAGCATTCATAAGCAGTCTGACTGAAGATCTTAGGCCTCTTGTTTTCCTACTCACTTCTGTAAGTCCTTGGCAATGGCTGCAAATTCTGGGAAGGGGTGAAGAAAATGATATCGAAAAGAACAGGGCCTGATTTTTATTTTTATTTTTTTTTCTGTAATAATATAGTGTAGTTTATGGCATTCAATTGAGTTGGAGGGGACAAAAAGTCAGTTGCTTGCTTTCTTGTGCTTTGAACAGGAAGACTATTGGCCACATAACTGAAGTGATATTACAGTTAAGAGAGATGAGTTTTGGAGAAATTTCAGGTAAAGAAATTTTTTAGAGACAAATGCATTGTGTGAGATCCCTCAATCCCAGTCCAATGTTTTTAGCAAGTGCTACTGTTAAAACTTCAGTGTTACTTTTCTTTTTTTTCTTCACTGACAATGAAAGGGGAAATTCATGTGTTATTACTTGAGGCTACCAAGAATTTAAATTTAAGGAAAAATATGTCACATTATAGCAGATACTTACTTTTAAATTGTTCACATGTCTCTTATTGCTGCTATTTATAGGAAATGCAATAGTTTCTCAAGAGTTTAATTCATGGAGGAAATTTGTAGTATTTATTAGGATCTCATTTTAAAATGCACTCAAGCTCAGTTACAAAGCTTTAATGTTAGTTATGAATAAAGTACTATTACTGGAATATCATCTTCTTTTGGTCATGAATGTTCATTCTAATTATTTCCATTGTTTGTATTTAAATATCCTGCAAACTTCAGATATTGAGCCCTGTTTTCTATTCTCCATAGTTTAGCATTTAGAGTGCTATAGAAAAATGTGTGTGGAATTTTTCCTGATTCCAGTCAGACCTTACATCTTGGTGGGAGGGGATGGGAATACAATTTCTATGTAGAACATAAAAAGGGGAAGAAAGTTTTAATTGGGAATGTAACTTGAAGGAGAGAGAACAGAGTAAATTCATAAGGTCTTCATTCTGTCTGACCCATAAACAGCCCAGAGACTCTGGAAAAGAGGTGTGCTGCTGTCTTCAAACAAAATCAAACAATCTTTTTCCATTGGGGACTGTCAGCCTTCCAACACATGAGGAAATGGATGACATCATATTTAGCTTTCCTGACAGCATTTCACTCCTCTGCACTAACCTAGGAAATCACATGAAGAGTGGGAAAAATACAGTCAGAAGTATCAAGAATTAGAAGTCACTAGTCAGAACTAGATTAATTTTAGACTCCACAATTTTTCCATGTTGGCTAGAATTTCCAAACCTAAGGTAAACGATTTGTTCTTCAGGAGAAATGAAGAGGGTACAGTAAGAATGAAAAGAAAACTGAAGAAAGTAACTGAAGAAGAACAGAGCCAGAAGCTGTTCCTTGGGGAAATAGCACTCAAATCTGCCTGTATTGTGGATGCAATGTTTAAAAGAATTAGATTCCCTATATCCACACAACTGATAAAGCGGTCCATGAAACATAGTATTCCTGACTCTTAAGCTAGGTGTAATATATTCAGGTATTTAAAAAGTTTCAGAGGTAGATGGGTTTTAGTAACAGAATGAAAATTTTTGAGCTTTCCCTTGCTATTTGTAACCTAGAACACTAGAGGACAGCACTAAAATATTACATAAACATATTATTGTTTACACTGTTAATTACACACTGAAGGCTTTGTGGGAAGGAAAACAACTGAGAGTTAAAGTTAGGGAAAGTGGTGTTTTGAAATTTCTTCACTCCTTTTGAAAGTTGTATCTGACATCATGTTATACAGACTATACTAAGTCTATTGATGTTTAAGGTATTTGTTAGAGTCTCTTCAGTAGTTAAGCTTTTTTTTTTTTTTAATGCAATAATGCAATAAAATAGAATCTTGTGTAGAATTACATTTTTAATGTCTAGAAAGTAAGGAATTAGTTGGCTTGTCTATGAATATAGGTTAATGATTTATCTGTTTACATGAAGTGTACTGTGTTAACATAATATTAAAATATTTTGTTGTAAATATTGTGTTATTGTCACAATATTCAAATGGGCATATGTATTAGTGTAGTTCCTTGAAAAAATTACAAATTGTGTTGTGTTTTTCTAGGCACACTGGAACGGCATGAAACAGGCGAAATAGCAAAAGCAATTCTTTCTTCCATTGAAGATTCAGAATACTTAGTGGCAGATGCTCTACTTCCTATATCTCAAGAGTCAAAAAGAAATAAAAATCCTGAATACAAATCCTCTAGCTCTTATAAGCTTGGCATGGTCTCTTATAATCTTACTCATACAGAAAAATCTTCAGATAAGGTAAGGATGCAAAGTAATGCATTTCTCTAGGGCACTGATTTGCGATACAAACTATTTACCCTTTCGTCTTCACTGTGGAGCCCTGCATTAATGTTGTGGATACTTGGTGTAAAGTTTGTAAAGCCATGTGCGTACTTGTTCAGTTTCTGTACCATTTTGTAAAACAAGTGGGTGGTGTGCCTTATGTATAGCCAGTAGTAGATGATCTCAGAAGGATTTTCTTGATTTTTAGCATATGTTTTGACCCTATTTGCTTATTCTGCTAACTTAAGACTGCATCTATTAGCAATACCCTCAGGGCAAGTGAACCCACAACTTCAGTTGGAAGTCTTGAGAAAAGCACATCATGGCACAATGCCACTGGCATTTCCCTCATTGCTCTTCTACAAAAGTGCAGATTTCTCTTGACATGCAGTAGTAGTTTTTATTGGTTGTTTGTTTTCTGTTAACAGTGGGCAATGGAGTGAAAGTGCTTTTCAGTTAATTAACTTTGGCACACTTATTGCTCAAAAAGGGCACAGTGGGCACCAAATATGTATGTCAGTATTCAGGAGTGATATGATTGAGCACAATATCTAGCTTTATTGAACATTTTTTCACTAATGTAATTAAACAAAAAAATTGTGACTGATGGAAAAGATTTGCTCTTCCTTTTTGTTTTCCTTTTTTATATTTTGAATAATAGAAGGAAACAGTACAGAAACTAGTGCTAATATGCTGTTAAAGCTGAGAAAGAGTACAAAGATATTGAGAAATAAAGTGGAAAGCTCATAAACAAATTTGTTTATGGCTCAGATATATATGTATATTACTTTTTAAAATTATCTATAAATAGCTGTTATTTGTTAAATGTAAAACTAACTTTTAAAAGAATCTCAAATTTAATACAATCTCAGATTTAATGGATTATGTATTACCTCATTCAGGCTGGAAGATAATGGCAAAATGGCAAATACCTTTTTCTCACGGTCTGTTTATCATGAGTTAAATATATTCACTGAATTTTTGATACAAACATATCTTAAGAATGGGGATTCAACATTGCTTGTTTGAGTGTAGTCTTAATACCTTTTTGGAATAGTTTTTCTCTGCGATGAATCAGAGGAAGATGATCTGTTATTCTTCAACAGTAAATGTAGATCAAAAATACTTTCCTATGAGTATGAGAAGGTGAGAAATGTTTTCCCTTAGCTCGCATGTAGAAACAACCTTCACAATGGTCTCTGGCCTTTTCCTGGCTTTTTCGATTGTGTTAAATGAAAGACTGGGTTTTCCAAAATTCAGTCTGATAAAGGATAGCTTAATCCAAGTCTTCATTCTGAACTTTCTTTTCTTTTTTTTTTTTTCTTTATTGCACTTAAAATTTATATATGCCTTTGAGTTTATAATTATGCTTGTTGAACTCTTTATATTTCTCTTTGACCTTTTACTAACCTTCGTCTGATTTCTAAAGTTCTTTTTGATCCCATTTTCTGAAAAGTCTTATTAGAGCATAATCCTGCTGAGCATGTTGTGAGGCAGATGGTGTGCTAGTTGGCCATTGACACAGAATCTGATCTCACTATTGCTTTATTAAAAGGAATAGTTTCTTCAAGTATTTTTAAAGAGAAATAACAAAGTTATAAGCATCTTAAAATCAAAATTTTGGCCATACATTTTAAATCAAAAATTGTATGGATTTAAAGTGGCTGGAAGGGAGATGTGCTGCTCGTGGAATATAGGAAAGTAGTTTTTGGCAGATTATAAAGCATGCAGTTTAATGTGCTTTAAGGATTATTGTGATTTTAATTTGGAAGTAATGTCACAATAGGTGACAGTGGAGTTACAATAATTTATAGCACTTTTTGAATAGGCATGTGTCTTGGCTACTCTGAATCTGCAATAAAATATTCCATTTACATTTTTAAACTTTGCTCCTTAGTTATCTTGTTCTAACAAAAACTTTGAGAGAATATTATTGATGGCTCTTGGACTTTCCTATGACTGTCAAAATACCTCTTTTCTTTCACCTTCTCATTTTTTGTCTTTGTAGTCATGTTATGTTAGTCTAGTTCCTTAACAAATGGAGATCTGTACTTAGGAAAACTGCTCTTCATTCAACTAAAATCTGCTGTCCGTTGCATCCAGCATTTCTCCCCACTTCTGTCTCCATTAGAGAAGATTCTGTAGATTCCTGTGGGAGATACTGGAGGCTAAATGTATAGGGTGTAGCCAAACCTGGGAAGATAATGACAATGGAGGTCCACTTAATGCTTTTCCAGAAACCCAGTGTGGTCTGCACAAAGGGAGCATGCCGCCCTGTGGCTTTTTATACCTGATACTTTTTTTAATGAAGTTCAAATAAAGGCTTCTTATTAGTTCCACCACTTTTCTTAGTTCTCATTCTGGATTTTTTTTTCATTTTTTTTCTTCCAAGTGTTTTGTGTTGACTCTTTTGGAACACTGTGGCTTAGCATCTTGAAATAATTTCCTGAAATCCACTTTCTATGAAACTAGTGGAAGTTCTGTGGATATCAGTGGGTTCAACACTTCATGCTGTATTATTAGGTATATAATGATGACACAGATCAAACTACCATGAAAATTTCAGGTTCTCAAAAGTCTTTATCAAAATGCGTATAAACAATCACTAATTCATTATTAATTTGCTTCTTTGGCAAATTGTATAATAGAAAGTTAACGTTAAATTATTGATGACTGATTTTGTGTGTGTGTGTGTATGTATATAAATCAACTTTAGCTTGTTTCTGAATTCAGTTTCAGAAGACATGAAACAGAAAAAATGAGGAGGCTCTTCTGTCCTTGTCAATATTACGCTTGTAAGCAAATCTTATTTTGTACAATGATCAACATGAAGCTCACAAGCAAGATTCAGTATTTTTTTATTATATTGTTTTGTCATTAAATATTATATTTAAGACAAAATAACATCTGCAAGACGATGGTTTTTCTTTCTTCCTAAGAAGAATAATATTCTCACATAACATTCCAGCTTCAAAGCCTTTCTTTCAAAACATTTGTCATCATGTAAATCACAGATACAAAAGCAGAATGCTTTGATTTCATGGTGTTTTGACCATTTTAATTCTTTTATTGTGCTGCACGTGCCAGTGGGAGTACCAATAACAGATGAGTGTGACAAATGCAGTTAACACAAGATCCATATTAATGTTGTCAAATACCCTTGATATATTTAAACAGATTTTAATTATTTTCCGTGTCAAAAGACCTGGAATATATAGTTTAATAGTTCTTCAAGAAAGCTTTACTTAATATGTGAATGTAAAACCTCTCATAAAAATGAAACTTTTATATTGGCCTTAGTCATTGACATAGGGTATTCATCAAGTCGGCAATTTGTGTGGCAAAGTGCCATTTGAATAGTGTATTGTTAGAATACTTATGGTCCACTTGACAAGGGCTCTTGCTGTAAATAGTGCAATTTGACTCCAGCTGTTAAAGAGTGGCTTTGACAGCAGCCAAATAGAATGGAGATGCTTTACTGCACCGCAGAAAAATCAATATTGGGTTCTTGTTCATAGTAACCTGTTTTTTCTTTCTTTTTTTTTTTTTTCTTCCCCAGATTTACACAAGACTACCTAGAGTTCATTTGTGGAGGTTTAAATATTTTTAAGTGTCTGCTTTATTTTCAGATTAGTATTAGTGATAAATGATGCATGTGTTTAAGAAGAATAATAATCAGAAAGTATTTTGTGGATGTACGTAAGCAATGTGGTAACACAACATTATTTCAACTCTAGCTTATGTGGATGAGTATTAGGATGTGGGTGCATAAGTTATGTAACTAATGACAAAGTCTTTCCTTCCTCTGTATCTCTTTTCCTTTTTTGTACTGCTTCTGTGCTATCATGGTGTTTTTTTTTTTTTTTTTTTTTGTTTTTTTGTTTTTTGTTTTTTTGTTTTTTTTTTAAAAAAAAGCAGGTTTCTTTGTTGTTCTTCCTGTAACAACCCCCACAGATGTTGACAATCTGTAGTGCCATTGTAGATTTTCCTGAAGCATAGTCTTGCTAGTGCTGAACAGTTTTCCAGCAGTATTCAGTGACACAAGGTTGCTATGATACCTGGCCAGTAGCAATAGGTATTGAATCACTGGTCTTAATTACAATAGGCTACATACTAGATTGTGTGCTCCTGGTGTTTGTATGGAACTAGCTCTCATCATATCTTTAAATCATAACTACATTTGCTATCAAAGCTGTGTAAAAAGCTGTTTTTTAAATGTGTGTGTGTCTGTGTGTGTGTATATATATATATATGTAAATGCTTCGGTACTGAAGATTAAATGAAGATTTAATTGATGCACAAGCTAGATGTTTGGGAATTGTTTCCTTGATGTTTCACAAATATAAAATATTAGAAAATTTCTCAGCTTCTCAGTTTAAATAATTTAGATGTAAATCTGTGTTTTCAATACTCTTAGATTTTTAGTGCACTTTCCATATGATTAGAGCTTCCTTTAGATAAAGATGTTGGAGGAAGAAGAGTTTCTAAAATTTGTACAGTAATTGCTAAACTAAATGATCCGTGTTGGCCCTTGGTTTTTTGAATTATACTACTGAAGAGCTAGACCAGGAAAGGGAAGCTTTTAATATTCTCTTCATATCTGTGTAGGTAAGATGAGCAAGACAATGATGAAGGGATGAAATGTATTTATCTACATATGAGCATTTATAGGAGTTTTTGTTTTATATATTTCACTTCACTATTTCTTAAAATACTGATCTTAGAGCTCTGACCTATAACACAGCGTTAAAGAATGTTGCAGACAGTCAAAAATATTGAAGTGTACAAGATCTGTAAAGAGTAATTTGATTTATGTAATTATTAGAAGTAAGTATAACTAGAGTAGTTAATTAACAAATACTATGGCACTCTTAAAATGCATTTAAAACATTTTACCTAATATTTGTACTAAGGAACTCCTTATTCACTTAATAGCATACATACTTTGCTCTTATCAAAATATATATATATGATGC